ATAACATCAGAATTACTCTAGACCACTAACATCCCATCAGAGCATATATACAACTCTGTAGCATCAACTTCATAACATCAGAATAACTCTAGACCCCTAACATCCCATCAGAGCAAATATACAACTCTGTACCATCAACGTCATAACATCAGAATTACTCAAGACCCCTAACATCCCATCAGAGCAAATATACAACGCTGTACCATCAACTTCATAAAATCAGGATAACTCTAGACCCCTAACATTCCATCAGAACAAATATACAACTCTGCACCATCAACTTCAAAACATCAGAATTACTCTAGACCCCTAACATCCCATCAGAGCATATATACAACTTTGTATCATCAACTTCATAATATCAGAATAACCCTAGACCCCTAACATCCCATCAGAGCATATATACAACTTTGTATCATCAACTTCATAACATCAGAATAACTCTAGACCCCTAACATCCCATCAGAGCATATATACAACTTTGTATCATCAACTTCATAACATCAGAATAACTCTAGACCCCTAACATCCCATCAGAGCATATATACAACTTTGTATCATCAACTTCATAACATCAGAATTACTCTAGACCACTAACATCCCATCAGAGCATATATACAACTCTGTATCATCAACTTCATAACATCAGGATAACTCAAGACATGTATACATGTGTAGAATAGATACAACTGTAAACTGTAAATATAGCTTTTTTATCTTGTAAACATAGCAAAGTAGCATTATAACAGCTAGAAACCACTTACATAATATCGTAGATCAACTCTTTAGACCTATAACAATACAACGAAGTAAAACTACATCATCCACATAACATTTACATCATTATTAGTGTAATGTATCGCAAAAACCTTAAATGTTTAGCTTTCAAGTTGGCGTATATGATAAAAAAAGGAAGTTCATATTATCATCAATGGCCCATGTGAAAAGTTGGTTGCCTTTTCAACGGAAAGAGTATATTTTCACACTTGGATAGCTGACCAAGGTCATTTCAAACAAACTTCATCTTTTGCCCTTTCATTCTCTTAATCAACCATCATAGTTTTACAAGTAACCATTCATATTGAGGATTGAACTCCTAAGGAGTTGACTTTTATACAACAGCTGTTTTATGAGAAAGACCATTATACAACATTCTTTACTGAGACATCGTGCTGGTCTCCAACTTTCAATATTGGTTTTGATGCATTGTGTAGGACAAGAATACAACATTACTTGGACAACTATAAAAACTCGTCCTTTTACAACCTGAATTTGGTATCCAAGTGTGAGGGAAGTTCATCATTTACTCTTTCATCCAGTAACGCTGTGGTTTTGGATTAATTTAGAAGTGCCTTGATGATCAAGACAACATTTTTATGGGTGGTTGATGCTCGTTTGGGTTAACTATTGTTAATTTGACAATGTATTGTGATTAGGAGACCCTGCTGTCATCGCCCTAATGACAGGATGACCACAAATAGACCAATAGAAAAATAATCTTCCCCTACTTGACGTCTAGCACAGGCCAAAAGGTTATTGCTACTGTTTCCAAAAGGGTTTCCCAAATGTCGATACTGATCAGTTGATAAATGACTAGCCTTTGATGGAATTTATTCATTGTTGGTCTTGGCGATGCATACCTTGAAGTAGATGAACAAGTTTGGAGCAATCTCGAACCATTCGTGGCAGGTATATGTTTAAATGCAAGGGGTGTAGTCTGTAGCTCACCAGGGACGACAGAGAGAGATTAATGACAAGAAATGTCTAAGTATTTAATCAATGATCGATAATATATAGTATATCCTATAATCAGAGGACAATTGATAGTTCTATCTAATCCCACACAGTAACAAACTTGACTGAAAAACTACGGCAATTTGACGAATAAGGCGGGTAACTTGAGTCGGGAGCCTTTACTATCCGGCAACGACAACCATAGCGTACAACCCTTCAATTCTTTTACCTCTGTTGGGTTGAAATACTCTAGTGTGAAGAACAATGTGTTTATCCCACCGTGTCACTGTTGACGGAGAAGGTAGGATAAAGAAGATAGTCGTCTTTAACTCCCCCTCTAGACGGTAGGCTCCTTCGTGGCGCCCGCCCCAGAACGCTTCAAGCGCAATTAATCAAACGAAACGGTAGAATAATGCAGTTAATTTTATGTCTTGGTAAACGCGCACGCGATGACATGGCCTGTGCGAGTTAGAATTTCTCGCCTCTCTGTCCAACTGCCAACAACCTGTCGACTAGAACAATACATGATCTAGTCAGTTTGGCCTTTTGTTTATTTTGACATCCTTTGAACCGTTCTGTTTCTTTTCACAAAATTCATACTCATATAGAATTACCCCAACTTTTCCCTATTCTGATATACGAATATGTGAAAAAATGACATTGGGATAAAGGATGTGTCTATCTATGAACCATAACGTAACGTCAAGCTAATCCGTCAGTCTACTAAACATGTGATCAAATTAAAACAGTTAACACATGTAGAAATAGTGCTCTTATCCATAAAAAATATTGTTATGAAAGTGTAGTAACATAATAATAACTGAACAGACAATTATAACCTTATTAACATGTCTGTGTTGTAACACATTTTAACATGGTCTTTAAAAAGATGGGGGCAAAGTAGGTAACCTTGTCGACTAAAATCATGTTGCCTTTGTAAATTGTTATCTTTAGTATGATGGCGTGAAAAACTTGTCCGTCTATTTCGCTTTATGATGGTATGTGGGAGAAGGGTTGTTCAAGATCAGATACAATAAGGTATAAGAAGTGGATATGTAGACACACCTTGAACCTGATTTACGTGCTCTTCTTAAAGCTTTTGCTTGAGAAAGTTCACTTCAAACATAAGTGTTTACAATAACATGATGCGGGAATGTATTAGCAGTCATATAGCACAAAACATCCTTAAAGTGTCATAATCTTAAGTATTGCTTGGCGTCCTTATTCAGTTCTTCGTTTATCTTTTACAATACTTTATACTTCACGATTTATACATCGCCTCAGTATGGCGGCCTCAATTAATGAGAACTACATAAATATTATGGCGAAGTGGGACAAATTCAAACACCGAAAGAATAGATATGACTATTTTCTACCTTAGGGTCATAAAAAATTAATTGGATTGGCCAGAATCTAGGACTGAAAGGAAAACAGGTACAAAAGCATGTATACATCACTACACCATGTCGTTTTTATTGCACCTGTCTCAACTTTATAGATCTCAAGCTCGGCTTGAAACATGAGAAAATATTGGCGAATTAAAGAATGTATACATAGAAAGTTATTTATTCCACATTTGAAACGAACATTATTAATTAAATCACAAAAACCGGAAACAGTACATAAATTATTATAAAATCTATTTTCATACATTCCCAAATTTTATACATATTGTACTTTTAAAATAAATTAAACAAAAAACAAAACATTGTATATTCTTATACTGAATACAATCATTAAAGTATTTGGAGAAGTTGGAATGGTTTATACAATAACAATGATATTAATACAAATATGGAAAAACTTGCTGCACGGCATGAAAATACAATATGGCGACTTAAGAACTCGAGGCTGGATAATCTACCATTTCTGCTATTCGATTATAATGTCATTATATATAATTTAGTCTCAAATTCAATAAAACGCCAAAAGAAAGTGGAAACCATCATCCAGAAATAATGAGCTTGTATGACTATGTCATCTGCGAAAAATCATGGCCATTTCTTTCCACCAATCAACTGACTCTCTGACTTCAAAGTAGCAATTTTCCATCGATTGGTAGAAGATAATTTAGAAAGAGAAGCGACGGTAATTTAGCTCTTTTCATTCCTAACTTATAATGATTGCCAAATAACTCAAACTTTTCTTCTTGCAGTATGACTGGCCTGTGGCGTCGCTTTCAGAAATGGCGTGTTCTTGTATTGATTAAAATAGCTAACATGAAAACAAATATGACGTGATTTTATGTAAAAATCTTTTCACTGAATACTCAATAAATAATATAGATTTTAGTTTACGTAAAGGAATGAATGAGAATGAGATCAAAATACTGGTAGAAATTATTTGATGAAACAATATGGAGAAAATAATGCTTCTGATTGAGCATTGCAATCAATGTTTTTGTACTGAATACTCTTTTAGAGAATAAATAGCACGTTTCTCTTCTCTGGAATGGAAATGTCCTTATATTTTGAAATGAAGCAATAATACTTTTAAACCTTCGAATACATGATATCGAAAGAAAAGCAGGTTATGATGATGACTACAACGCCGGATGATTTTGTAATGAAGATGATGATAATGATGATAATTTGTTGGAAGGTTATCTGGCTGCAGCACTGTTAACAATATATATATTAGAACTATAGTAAATTATTCTACAAGTCTCTCGGCTATATACAAATACAATTATAGGTCTATATTGTACATTTACATTATATACGAAAAGAGTCAAAACCTCTCTTAATTGAGACAATTTGCACATTCGTCCCGGGAATTTTTCTTTTTGGAGCACATTCTTTTCAATCCGTTGATTCTCGATTGGGATTTTGGCAATTGCTTGGCACTATGATCTTTGAAACTTCTATCTTTTTTCGTAAAGAAACTCACTTGCACAATTCATGCCACTTCCAATATACAATCCTGTTCGTTGTTCCTGTACCAGGAACACTGTTACACCATCACGAACAAACACACCACTGAATCACAACAAGTTCACCAAGTGAGTATTGAGGAATATTTGTCCAAATTTAACTGTCTACAATTTATGTCAGTAATTGTTGTTGAGCCATAGAATTCTGTTGATACCAAGAATAATGAGGCATTGACATATAAGAGTTCGAACTGGGATTGTTATTACTGATATCGGACCAAGAGCATGGTGGCTGTGGACTCATACTAGACGATACAGGTAACATAGACTGAGATTGAGGTCCACCTTGAATTGGGGTAGGAGGTTGATTTGGGGGAATGTCTGGAGTAAGTTGAGGAGGGGGTTGTTGTCCATGAGGGGGTGATGATGCTGATCCTTGAGGTGTGAGAGGAGGAGGAGGTCCATTGGGGTTCTGTTTCATCACTTTCTTGTATTTGGATCTCTTGTTCTGAAACCAGATTTTAACCTGAAAGTATAAAAAATAATATTCATGTAATGTGCATTGTATGCAATATAACATCGATTCAACAAATTTTCTACCCTAAACATCTAACAGAATATAACAAAAAGTGAAATTTAAAAAATAAAAAACTGTTATAAAAAACGAGGGGAATTGGGTGTATAAACTAAGCAATATAATACATGGATGGATATCATCTATAGATTTTTAAAAATAATTATCTAATTGTTTTGCACCATCTGACCTAAAGTTTGATTTAGTTGAGAGATAATTTAATATTATTTGAGTTTTACACTGTAAATTCAAGAGGTATGTGAATAAACGAGATGAAAGACTTCCTTAATTGTTCAACTTAATCACAACTTTTTATCAGATCATCTTTCACATTTTTTCAAGTATAGATCTCTAGTGTTTTGCAACTAAAAAATCTGATTTGACATTACACTAGTTACGTCGATATCGAACTCCCGTTCATTCAAACTTCATATTTGAAAACTTCGTGCTTCAGTGCCTCTCCTAGCCCATTTTATACATGTACTGATACGTTTTGAACCGAAACGTTTATTTTTAGTTTCCTCCATTAGTCAATGTTTAGAATTTGATTGATTTTTCATATTTTCTGAGAAAAAATATTGGTTATCAACGTTTTTAAATCACCTTGTGTATTAACAGTTAGAATTTTCCTGCATGATATTTTTTCAATTAACGATTTTTCAGTCTATTCTGGTTTATGTTATTTATTTTTTTATGTTTGCCACAAATATTACATGTAAGCTTTAAAGTAGAGATCAATTCTCCAGTTATTTCTTACAAATATACAGCGAATATAACGTCAATTTTATTTTTGATGTAAAAAAATTGACTTTTTGCGTTCCTTCAATTCACCGATGTGTAACATTTGGTAGATGCTTGCTAATTAAGTGCTATTTGAAATTATTTAAATTTGTGGTTTAAATTTCAAATCACCCTCTTCATATATTAACAAATATTGGCCATGAAAAGTGAACAAAGACCAGATAATTTAAGAGTTAAATTAGTAAACGGTAGATTGTATTCAAGGTAAAAAATTTTAAGGTTGATATTTTTTCTCACATAAACACTCAAAACGTTAACAAAAGAAGGTACATAGATGTTGGGGTGGAGAGGCGATACTTCGTCACGCTTGATATTAGGAAAATTTCATTTTGCTCGCTGCGGGATGTTATTTAAGGGTGTTGTCACATGCCCTAGACATAGACAGTATCGTATTTTATACAAGATAAATGGACTGGGATATTTGGGTTCATTTTTAAGGGTTCTTAGGATGGCTAACAGTATTTCAAACTTTAAGAAATTATTTACAACTAGAAATACTATATAATACTATATTTTGATGGATATTGATGGATTAAGATTTACTTTATAATGTATATGTTAAAATTATGCCCTTGATTTATTTTATATATTTAAATATTAAATATTTTCCTATGCATAAAGCCATTTTTACACATCAGATATATCTAAAATCAACAACACTATAAAAAAAAAGCCAGCAATGTCAAAATTCATCGACAAAGTACATCAGCTGAATAAACTTGCCCAGTTTCCCCCTTGATTTTATATTTTCATGTTAATTTTCATGGGATGATTGTTCACAATAGGGCTGTCTGTATTAAAAGGCCATTAGCGACAAAATGTTAGTTTAATACACTTGTGTTCAACTTAGTGTGAAAGTGTCTTCAAGATATTGAATTAGCCCCTTAACAGACCGTAAGACTTCATCTTTATGTTATGAAGTTTTCTAAATAAAAAAAACTAAGTTAGTCCGTTGTAGTATTTACAGTTTAATCCCCTTTAGCTAAATTTTGCGTATATTTGATAAGAAAAATATTTTCAGATGTGAAATTCTATATTTTGTTTACGTTTTATACACAGATACCTTTTTTTTATTATTATTTGAAGTTTTAAATTTGAAATGCGATTGCATATAAGTTATCTTACTCTACCCCACTCCCCACCCCCCCCCCCCCTCTCCCTCTTTTTCTAAATTAAGTTACCGTTACCTTTTGCGAGTATGTGCCTGAATGGCATTATTCATCGAATATTTTTTCTTTAGAAATGAAGAAAGCTGAGAAACCGCCAGATTTTTCCTTCAGAAATTGTGAAAAGTGAAGATAAACGAGATGACATTGATATTGTGACGGTAACTTTGAATACTGAATATAAAACAACAGATTTAAGACGTGTATAAAAGGTAATTTAATCTCGCACAGTGTTTGTGGCGAGTGGCACTTAAATTAATTTCATTTTTCTATAACATTTGTTAATCGTTTACAGTAATTGACTCATAATTAATTTAGTACGTCACGTGACCATGATATCGTCGTCGACGTGACGGTGTAGCCGCCATGTTAAAAGACAATATAAAGATATTGAAACTTAAATGATCTGATTTCCCTTAAGAATAGACGAACGATTGATATCATTTAATTCTGATAAAGAATCCCTAAAGAAGGATATTAATAATAAATTATCAATTCATTCTTCACGATTAAACGTCAATTTTGTTTTGATTTTCAACACCTAACTTGTTTTGAGTCTCAATCAAATAATAATAAATCGATTGCTACCATTCAAGATTTTAAAACGATACTTACGATTATAACGGTGTATTGGAATGATTAAACTTAAAAATACGCAGTATACTTTTGATGAATACATATATCATAATTATTAGCTATGTGGAGCTTCCGAAAATGATAAAGACATAGACCATTCAAGTGACACTAGCCTAACAGTGGGCTCAACTTCAAAACATTTTTTGTCTTGATCTTTTATGCCCAAATAAAAAACACAAGAACCGCAAAACGAAACTCAAAATGCAGTTTGACAATACATTGCTATCAGTATTATTTCAAAACTGTCTTTTATTAAAATCTGCATTTAAAAATTCAATCAGAATTCCCAATGGTAAATGCTGCAGATGAAAAAAATAGGAATAACGGAATCTAAATTTTAAATTCAAAGTTAGTCACTCTAAAGTGCGTTTAGAATAATAAATAATAGGCAGGAGTAATTCGAGACCGAAGGAAACAAGAATGAGAGAACAACATAAAAAGAAAAAGGGGGAATTTGAAACTGTTAATAGGTCAAATCGTAACACGAAAATATTTTTAAAGTTATAAATAAAATTAATTGATTTTGTTAAACGTGAATGCTTAAAAGGAAACAGTGTGGAGAAAGAGTGTATTGGTTTGCTGAAAATAGTTAATTGAAATGTTATTTAATTTCTGAATAGAAATCAACCCTTAGGCGCATGTTGGGTATCTAAGTTAAAGAGACATAAGAATCAAACATAAATCCGTTGATCGAATTATTGATACACGACGTAAAGGATTGCTAGAGGCTACCTACACAACACAATCGTTGATTTAATCAGAACATATATTGATATCATCTTACTAATTCATCAACTTAAAACTTCACTTTAATGTTTTCTCCACACTTGCTAACAAATACGTTTTGTTTTATTTTCAAACAGTTTTACATTATTACGTTATTTTTCGCTCTCTTGGTTTCTGACTATTGTACAAATCTCAAATTGCTTTGATCTTTATCGCGGAATCGGTTTGTGCGCGTTTACCATTTATTGAAATAGATTTAGTGTTGAAACTTTGTTCGCTTTTATGTAGAAAATGACCTGCCATTATAATTACTCAATTTTAACTGAAAGGGTTTAGAAACAGAATTTCAAATTTATCCCATGGCGGGTTTAATTTGGTTGACCATTTGATATCAACAGCCCTGTCGTACGCAGCAAAACATAATAATGTTATATTCAAATTGAAATCAATTGAATTGAAAAATACTTATATCTGAAGAGCCCTAAAAGAATTCCGTATAATAAACTGATATAGTTTAAGGTAAAAAATGAATAACAAGTTTTACCTATTAACCTCAACTGCCAAGTTCAATTTTTTCTTTCCCACCGAGTTTCCCTACTTCATATCGCAGTAACAATAGAGTTTTATATACTTCACCAATTATGACAGACAGCCCATATAAAAGGTCTTTGAACATTTTCACTGGTATCTATTTTTAATTTTGATATAAACTAAGATAAAGACTGCTTTTGCTTCTTTTATCTCTTTTGCATGTTTCATGCTTTTTTTCATGTGACTTCTGCACTTAACTGCATACAGCTGTATAGGTAATTAAAAAATTAACGGAGAGCAATTACATGCATGTGAAGCAGTAATTTAACGCATTAGGTTACAAGTTCAAAGAGAATGGACGACGTTCATATATCACAGTATCCAACACAAATTTGATAGTCGACCTTTGGAAAAAAAGATTTCAATCGTCAAAATGCACTAAACATTTGAATAAATTTGAACAGCAAAGATGGTGCCACATTAATTCTTAATACAGAAAGGTGAGAGTTGTAGTTCAGATTGATTATTAGCCGAAATAACAGGTGTTACCCAACTACAAGTCAAACCATCTGCAATCACACAACTGGTGATTTTATCAACTGAACACAAGAGAGAGAAAAAATCTTATTGTCACAATGATACAAATGAACATCTGATATTGAAATAGGGCGACATGGAACTTGGGCTAATGAAAGAGTACTATACGTTTAGTTTATGACGACACTTTGTCAAATCGAAATTTTGAACTTCCATTCAATATAAGTTTTATTGTAATGAAATGACTTCAAATCCGATTTGAAAGACTAAAACATTCTCGTGTGATATCGATAGAATTTTTTTTTTTAAACCAGTGACCTTTTTGTCAGATGACTTTACTCAGTTAGAACCCAATAGTAACTTGCTAACTCAGATCGCTCACCCTTTAACAACACCAGATGCCAATCTGCAACTTAGATCTCCACTCGGCGTGGTTTTAGATTCTGATTCTTTATAAATATATTCGTGTACGATTGTATTTGGTTTTCCTTGCAAAAAAACTGTCTATGACTTTCTATGTAACCTTAACAAGAAAATCTCCAACTGTTTCACGTGAAAAGGATGATTAGAATGTTTGATATAAAATATCATTGGAATTTATTTTATTTACTTTTTACTCTATAAATCAATGATTTCATTCCCACTTGTCACTTTCTTATTTTACTTTTAGTATCATAAATATCAAATGTAAATGAAGATTCTCTGTATTCATTTTTTCTATTATGATTTATATTCTGTACACTCTGATTTTGTCTTAGTCTGCATCAGTCTCCCTTTCTAACAAAATAAAATTTACAAAAGTCATGTCATTGTAATATACAATTCTTAGTTAAAGTATTTTTTAAATCCTGTTCAGAATTTTACTTTTGTGACTTTGCCAGATTGGGTATTTTGAGTTTTGCTGTCATTATGTTTTAAATATTTCATTTTAATATAATCCTAACAATTAACAAAGCTAAAATGAAATTATATATTTTCTTAGGTTATAGAATATTATTTTGTTACAGTCACCAAGACAATGATATATTTACAGAAGAAGAAAGAGTCTTATTGGCTTTGTTATATCATTAAATCTAATCAATAGACAGTAGAAATTATATAGTGTAGTCTTCTCTTAGCTCAATATTCACAAACTAGAAATTAAAGTCGTTAAGGTAGATGAGGTGTCATTTAAGATCTGACAGTTGGAACTACCCCTTAACACTACTATCTTCCCGCTTAAACCTTCTTCTCGACCACCAAATCGTCTGTAACCAGGCCTTAATTTGCCTTTATTGCAGTTATTATAATAAATACACCAATTTCATTTTTTCCAATCTTATTCCAATTGTCGATATATGAATTTCTGATGAAAGATTCCGTAATTATTGGCCTATTTGTTCTGCCTCTTAAGTGCGTTGTCTTGTCAAATAAATTAACTGGTAAATGTTAAAACACCTAATCAGACGCCATTATGAAATTTTAAGCCTGAACGTTGGAGAAAATTGCGTATAATCAAGGCAAATTTTGCTGTTGACAAAACTAATACTTTACTCCAATCAAATATGGTAAATGTCCCCTTAACAGAGGAAAATAACTCCCTTTGTAAAATTGGTCAATTTTAGCTGTTGTATAAAAGCAGAGGAAGCAATGATCAGTGTCTATAGTTAATTCTTACCTGAGTTTGGGTAAGACCGAGTGAAGCAGCCAACTCGGCCCTTTCTGGAAGGGCTAAATACTGGGTTCTCTGGAATCGACGATTTAACTGTTGAAGTTGTAGTGAGGAATATATTGTGCGAGGTTTACGCAACTTTTTGCCTTTACCATTTATTCTCAACTGTTCTTCAACTTGGGATTTATCTGTGAATAAAAATAGGATATAAAAATTATTTTGGCTTTAAAGTAATAAAATGGATATAATTGTGTTATTTTGTTCCGTTTTTGTTTTTGGATTTGAATTAAAAAAAAATCGCCAAAGGTATAGGTCTTTTTTCTTATTAATATGCCGCGCAGTTCGAATATTTCTATAAATCTATTTTGCCTCAAAATCAACACCAATTTCCTATTGGTCAGGGAGGTTTGGATTAGAATGATACAACGAACGTTACTACAATGGATGGTACGAATTGAGTTGTATTTTTACAACGTAGTGGAGCCTGGGATTTCTGCCAAATAGAAGGAAGGGTTAATATACGGTAAAACAAACAAGACAATATTATAATAATATAAAATGCTTGTTTAGTTAAAGAAGTGTTTTCTATTCCAGAATAAATATCTTGTGTATCTGATAGATGTTCCTTGCTTCTAAATACCATTCAAACCTTATAACGAAGCCTAAATATTTTATAATATTATTTTTATATATTTTTGCACTTTATTTTTCTCATTTTACCTGGTACACCGGAATTTCATATACCACAAATTACCGATGATACAGGTATTTCAATTTCTCATTTTACCTGGTACACCGGAATTTTATATACCGCAAATTACCGATTATACAGGTATTTCAATTTCTCATTTTAACTGGTACACCGGTATTTCATATACCATAAATTGTCTGATACATCTGTATTTCCGGACTCGGGTCAAATGGTATTTCATTTTCTTACATTTTATAGTACACCAGTACTTTATTTTTTTCTTATTGCGTAGCCTAATATACCTGTATTTCATTTTCCTCGTATATTCTAGTGCACCTGTATTTCTTATTGCATTTTGCTGAATATAGCGGTATTTCATTTTTCCCATATATTTCATTTTTATTCTTATATTGTCGAACATGTTACATAATCTCTACATACTCGCATCTATTTCTTTTAAATCGCTTAAAAACCTAATTTATCTAAGTAATATTTTTGTCTAATGAAGACGGACTAAATGATGCAGCAAACAAAATTAATTCGCAAAAGAGATTTGCTTAACAAGCACTTTTAAAAGACTATAACAGCCCTTGTCATTGTCTGGCTTTGATGGCATGTTTGTGAAATGGTCCGCGACTCTGATTTCATGCTGTTAATGTTAAGTATGAGATTTTTACTGTTAATATATTTAATTAATACAGATAATATCAAATTAAATTAATCAACTTTCAATGTATATTAAATGAAAAATAACATGAGTATAATAACATTTTTTAAAGACTGACCAGAAACGGTTTTATTTTATACACAGTAAAATTTTTAATATATTTACATTCATTCTGGCAAAAGTTAATTAAGTTTTTAGAATATAACTTAATGCTAATATTAAAATTGAATTTCTGGGAAATAATTTTTTGGAATATTTGGAAACTATATTTTGTGGGCCTCGCACACAAATTTTCTATTATATAAATCAATATATTTCAAGTGAAATGCAATCGGATGTTCTTAAAAAAAAATATGGTCATTCAAGATAAAAGCGTTAACTTATTGTTTCCAGATCCGTAGGAAAGTGTCGTAAACATCCTTAAAATTTAAATTTAAAATATTTAAAGGTTAACTGCATCTACGACATCTTTAAAGGCGTTGGCGGGTGCAAATTGCATTTTAGCCTTTTGCTATATTTATACTTTAAAATATATAAGGTTATAAAAACCTATATATTTGAAAAACACTATGATAGGTGAAGTCAGTACTTTTCCACAAATGTTTGGTGTGGAATAGATCTTGATTCTGGGTCTTTTGGGCCCCTTTAACAAGGAAAATGTCCACACACAATTCTGTCTATGTAAACTTGATTTATGGAAAAAGGCCGTTGTTTGAATAGGCTTACAGTTTACCTAAGCCAACAGTTTGCACGTCAACAAATATCACCGTTAAGGAGACGAAAATTGCGAATTTTGAATTGCAAAAAAGAGAAATATGAATTGTCATGGGATAGCTTCGGTACGACATTTCATGTTCCACTAACAAATAAGTTCAATAATCAGTTAAAAGAGATCCGTCAAATTTATATGGAAGGATGCAGCGAATTTCACCATGCAACTTGTTATATTTGAGTGAGGTGGAATACATTTATATTTACGTTTTAAAACAATTTGTCATTGTTAATTGTCAATGCATTAACATACTAAAACTTATCAGTTGCAAAACGTGAACCTCTGAGTCACATAAATTTCTAATATTTTAATATTTGTATGTGAAAATCTAGGGTATAAAAAATTGGGGTCGAGTTCATCAGTTGAGATTGGTGTGAAGATATAGTCTTAACACAAAAACACGACTGTAAGATACGGGGTTAGGATACTATTCATTAGAAACACCGGTGAAATTTTATATTCAGTTCGAAATTGTATACACCTGACTCAAAACAAGCTATGTTAGAGGAAAATAGGGAGCGGTAAAACTAGGATATCAATGAAAATAAATATTACTTTAGTGGAATATACTCAGAATACTCCGCTTTTTAATCCAAAATATACAACTAATAGTAACGCTTAATTTGTAACAAGAGTAAAAAAATGGGGACTTTAGCGAATTATAAAAAATTGACATTCGTCTCCTATTCGTCATTCGAGGAAATGAAAATTAAGGGTTTTTTTCGATAACGAAAATATAACATTGGCTCAACATGCGTTACATTTTCAAACATTTACTTGAAAATATACCATAAATGATGTTAAGGTTTTGAAAATTTGGACAAAAAATTCATTGGGAGAGAAATTTTCTTCACATCAATGCTATTTTAAAATATAAACAAAACAAAACCATTCTACTCAAGTGAAAATCAAATTCAGAAATCCAACTGCATTCGGTGTTTAATCGCAATACTTCGGGGAACAGTTACCAATTGTTCAATGATTTATATATTTGAAAATATTAAGATTGATTCAATAATAGAAGTAATTATAAGTTATTATAGAAAATAATTAGTCATTAATGTTATTATTAAATCTTATAATTACTTTCAAATCACAACATTACGCTCGTCAAACTAAACACTTTCTTTTCTATGGCAGATTTATGAGAATTTCAAGCTTTAGTTAAAATTAAAATAATTTACTAAATAATTGTAATGATTTTCGTCTCTCGTTTCCTTACAAGTTTGAAATTGCATAAAGACCTATAATTGTGAAGAAATAAAGAGTAGAATTAAATGTGAATAATACTAAAGAAAATAATGAAGGGTAATTGTTATAAAATAACTATAATTACATATTTTACTTACCATCTCGTGTCGGTGAAGGTGGCTGATACGGCGACATTGGAAAATGATGGGAAGGGGGAACTGCGTTATATCCTGATGGTGCCATACTGTTCATTGGAAATGGGTACCCAAAAGATCGAGTATGTTGAGATGTTGGAAACATATCGTGTTGAGAATGCTGTGTTGGGTACCCAGAACGAATATTATAAGCTGGGTGTCCCATTCCACCCGCCATAGACTGTTGTTGTAGTTCCATAAAAGCGGATTTACTGGCAATCTCTGGGTCCATACCCTCCATATTACCCGTCATATTCAACATGATAGTACTATGTCCACTTTCTCTGATTAAAGGTAATTTAGACTTAAATATGTCTCTAACTACAGATCACAAAGTCTTCTTACCGCACACATCCACTGCTTCTAACTACCACTTAAATCAGATGTGTCAGCCCCCAAAATATATGAATACATACATCTACAAGATTTAGCTCCTCCCTTTAAACAATTTCATTGGCTGTCTGAAAAGCAAACTGTCAATCAATGTTTTCAATGGCTGAGTGAAGACAACAATACGACAGATCGACGAAATGGATTACCGTAGTCTCAAGTTAGTTATTGTTTAAATTCAATAGAAATTTTCCTAAGAGGCTTACACAAAAGCTATTGAATTTTATTTGGTTGTCTGTGAGTTTGGGATAGCCACCTTCCACGGTAGGCTACCGCCATCTTGATGCTTGTAAATCTAGAAAGTTGTGAACAAGTGTGTAAACGTCTATCGCCTATCAGGGCAAGGAACAAAACTTTTAATCTTATGTTTATGTGTTTATGATGGCATCTTTAGACAAAAATCACAATATTTCTTGTAGAACATTTTCCTTAATCACAACATTGACTTAGCTGGCAGACTTTTATTCTAGATTTAACATGTTCTATATGTTTTACAATATTAAATACTTGATGATATTTAGATATTTTTTACTTATAACAGATTAGGAATTCCATTATTTTTCTTTGTCGTGTGTCGAATTTTAAACTGAAAAGTGTTGACATTCATACAAATATAATGGATTCATTAAAATATTTTTTTTTCCAAAATACAATTATGATTAAAAATTTTCAACAATTTTTGTCTGAAATGTGTTTTTTTTTTTCACAATTCAATATTGGCCAAGATAGAACTAAGTAGCATTTGAATTTTGAGTTTAAAATATTGAAACTTGGAATTTAGTTGAATGGAAATAGAACTGTAGATATTATGCTGAATTAATATAGGATATTTTGTTATACTTTTTGCTATTTCAATTGAACACACGTTAATGATAGTAGTATTGACTTTAGCTGAAACACTGAAATTGTCATGTCATAAGAAAATTTGAAATTTTCCGATTTCATACCATACATTTTAATTGTATAAAATAATACTATATAATATAATACATATTATTATAAAACTACATTCAAATATCCATTGGTCTTATAGGAATGAAAACTCTCAATGAATATTGCTGAAACTCTTGTTTATACTTTCTATAAAGGCAATTAAAAGTGTCCCAATTAGTGACAAAATGAAGGTTTTTAATGTCTCGGTAAGGTTGTGTTGTAAATATTAAATGAATTTTACGTAAAACCAAGCTATATTTGCCGACTTTGAAAACGAAAAGAATGTTTCAGTTAGATTTGCCATCATAATTTTAATCTTTCCTAACCTAGGTTATATTATTCGATGCACATTGAATCTGATAAAAGAAAACTCAACTTATATCATGTATTTTATGATTATTAGATGCAATTTAAAAAAGTATATATCTTAAGACTCAATGAAAATGGACGAGTGGCTGGTTTTGAAGTAATAAAATCGATGAAAGTTTAGTATTACTGATTATAATGTTTATGTTCAATAATTGCTCTTTAATTTAACGGTTGAAATCACCAATTAATACAAAGACATCAAGTAGATACTTGAGTATTAAAACAGTAGTTGAAAATTTAAATACTACTTTAACTTAACAAGATTAATACAATCTTGAACGGATTATCTTCTAGACTATGTACTTCACAGTTTGGTGTAAAAAACGGTACTCGGAATTGAAGTCGGCGAGGCCGTACTCAGGCGACGGACGAAGTTTTCTAACGAGTCTATCAAGTAGTAATTAATAATAAAAAAAGATCGATTAAAGCTATGTTTACTATGTTAATTTCTTTTAATTAATAGGCTCCGTAACCACAAGCTGTGGTCATTTCTTAGACTTAGACTTAGAACACAGGGAATGCATTTAACTGATAAATTCACGATATTTTATCAGGAGTACCTGATTAATTTCACTTATTGGTTGGTGTAAACCCCAGAAAAATAGGCCAAATGTCAATAAAGTGCTACTATATATTTTTCTGTGCAATATGTTGTCAGCGAAACACAAACACCTTTTGCGTAATGTCAGATGTTTATTGCTGAATTGTGCCACCAAAAATACTTGTCTTGCTGTTGCAATTTGACATTTAGAAAATTTACCAATTTATCAGTTAATTAACGCATATTCTCTAAAGTAGAAACGAAACAACATACAGTTACCAAAAGCATTGGTTGCATTCAGCAGGAACAATTTTATTCTACTACTCTCACTCATAGAAATAATAAGCTGGCAACATCGAACAAAGTCTATTATTATCAGATACTAACAAAAGGAACGCCCTAAAGACATCCTACAATTTTGCTAAGAAAAGTTAGTTTTCGTCAATTTTAAAATCTATCTAAATATTTCCTGCCTTTGAAATTCTATTATGTGCAAGATTCCTTGAAGTAGATTTTCCCTTATTCTACTCAAATACGTGGGAAGTTATTAGGACATATTTTCTAATTCAATAATTAACGTGTTGCTTACAGGATTAATAAAGCCTTTGACTAAATCTGTTTCACTTATCGGTTAAACCACCAATATAGAAATATTAAAAGTAAAAATATGGCCTATTACAAAGTTTTATCAAGTGAGTAATTTGTGAAGCAATTATCATGTAATCATTACAGTTATGGTAGAAATATTCTGTAATTTTTAACGAGACAGTGATAGCAAGTGTTTTGTAGTTAATTTACTTGATTATTACAATAAGATCTATATGATGTAAACTATGATAAACTCAAGAGCAGGTACAATACAGGTGGTTTCTACATCAATGATACCGACCAATTTACATTTCTGTTATTTTTACTTAATAACAAACCGCGGTACACTCAATCGAACTATCGACGAAAATTGAACTTGATTTTCATCTTTTTGATGACTGAGATAAAAATTTTTAACGTGAATAATTCAAATACTTATGGTGCAAACGCTATATTTGAAGATACCAAGATTACTAATGCATTTTGAGTGATTGTTTATTTGATTATGATATGTGATATGTAAAACCATAACAACGATTTTAAAGATTTTCTATATTAATGTTATTTCAAGTTTACTATATTTTTGAATGTTTTATAATAAAATAAGGAAATCCGAACAAAACACAAATCAAAATGTATTATAGATCAGTATTAAAAAAATCAAAACAATTTTTAAAACATCTACCAAAGAGAATAGTTTGGTTATCATATTTATTTGAATGGTTTGTCAAGGGACAAGTACATGGTAGTTAGTCAAGGGACAAGTACATGGTAGTTAGTCAAGGGACAAGTACATGGTAGTTAGTCAAGGGACAAGTACATGGTAGTTAATCAAGTCATTCCGGCCTTTTATGTCAGCTTATTAGTGCGACACAAAAATAACATTTAAGTTAACATACAATAACTTGATTTTTAACGATAATATTTCGTGGACGTAACGGGTCATTCTTCCCCACTTGAGGAACTGAGCAATACTTTCTGAAACCTTCAAATAAACTCTCTCTGAATATTAAATGTACCAGATTTTAGAAGTAAATGTACGTCATATTTAATTACTAGGATTTGAAGAGTAACTTGTTTTACAAAGAAAATATGTTAGTAATATGTTGATCATTCAATCGAGGTGTAGAACGGACACTTGTTCAGTAAAACCATCAATGTCATTAGCTTGATAGGATATTAACAGATTATCATTATAACACGTTTAATATCATGACGTCTCGCTAACAACCAACACTCTCATATTTGACAGTCGTACACTTACTTGTTTCTAACCCTCAGAAACTACTAGCTGTTGATGAAGGCTCTCTGCAATGTTTGCGATAATCAGATATCACTGGAAGCGGAAGTTTATCTTGTCTACCTTCCTAAATCTTTCTGTAATATACAGCCAAGCGTTAAGTTAAAATACGTGTAGTTAACGTTAAAGAAAAAAGGATTTATCGCCCCAAATGTTAAATAATATATCAAAAGGCGAAAAGGCACCCTCTGAAACCGTTCATAACCGATCTATGATGCTGACCTGTATTTTAACTACAGTAAACTTTTTTGTGGCTAACAAAGTTATAGAATGCATACTTGAACAATAAAATCGATTCTGACAGCTTTACTAAGTTCACTATCCACCCTAGTTTTGAACATACAAATTGTACATCCCTAGTTATGTTTTCGTCATATTCGATATACCTGGATTTCGGTAAGGGATTAAAAAATATGACATTTTATAATGTATGTTTATACAATGTAGATAAAGCGCACAGGGTAGGCATTAGGTTGTATTCCTTTTACTAATTTTGTTCTTAGATTGAAACTTCCCTCGCTGCACATGAACCATAGGCGTCATTTGTAGGGTGATGATCAATATCTTCATCGTAATAATGGAAAAGAAACGTAATCCTTTTGTTTAAGAATATTTGCCAATTGCCTAATCTCAGGTGTTCCACGAACGTGGATTAAGGAAATTGCTAGAGTAGGTGACACGTTGGCTCAAAGTTCGAAGTGACACTCTACTGTCGCTGATCATGCTGTACTGACACCAGCATCCGACTGAGAAGGTGTCTTAACCCACAAGAACTCGGCTGCACCAAATCAATTTTAATTTTGAATTTAATTATTCTCATTAAAGTCAATAGGGGTCGACACGAGTAATATTTAAGAAGCCTAAATGTCGTGAGTCGGTAATTCGTCTAACAATAGATCGTTTACCTAATAATAACAATAGTAGTTCAACATATTGGTACCTTTCAATTTAATTAAAACCTAAACAGACAAATTCCTCTCCCCACCAATTTCTACCGTTTCATTATCAACAACTTTTGTCAGTATTACTTGCTACGTATTTATCGTTTTTAACAACATGTTTGGCTTATATT